TACCATATACATTGAAGATAGCATCCAAGGACGTGACGGTTGTAGAGACGGGAATACTGCCAATCCACAATGCTCGGGTAGGACCCTCCAAATTGTTCTCATCCACGGGTTCTTGGGCTCTTAGTCCTCCCATGCTTCCTAACTGCATTCTCTGAGCGGCTTCAGGTAAACTATCGTACTCAGAGCCCTCCGTAATGCGAATGTCCGAAGCATTTATACTGTTCTCGAGTCTTGAAGGGCTTGCGAGGTAGTTGCGGATGGAGGAACGTTGGAGAGGAGCGTCTAAAACACCAGCAGTACGAGCTCGGGGTCGGCTGGAGGACGCGTGGTTTGCAAAGGCTTGGACAGCAAGGTTGTGTTGATGGATTTGAGCCTGGGTAGCAGCGAGTTGAGCGGCAGTAGCAGCGGCGGATGGAGTTAGAGTTCCTGAGGGGATGGCAGAGTAATGTGTGCCGAATTCCTCGTCTTCCTCGGCGTATTTTTCCTTTGCGTTAACAGAGTAGGAGCGGAATCGGTTTGAACCACGATTGAGCATGGCCAATTCTGCGAGAAGAGGTGGCAGGGAAGACGTCGGCTGTTGTTGCTGCTGTTGCTGCTGCTGCATAAGCATGGCAACCGATGGTCCTGCAAGGCTAGCACGAGACTGCTGGGGTGTTTCTGCCAACCCCAGGTAATCCAGGGTCCTCACGTCGGCGTCAGCAAGACCATCTTTCGAGAAGGAAGACTGGGTAGGTGAAGAGGGGCCTTCGGAAGATCGTATGCTGGCCAGTGTGGTGGCACGCTCGCGCCCAGATGACCAGTTTGTCGAAAAGACAGAAGGGCCGAAGGGACTTGAGCTGTTCAAAAGATTGGGCCGCTGTGGCATCGAGCCAGCTCGAAGGCGAGACAGCAAAACTGTATTCGACTCCGTTCCTGGAGCAGACACCATGGACGAGTCTACCCCAGTTGTATTTTGCGGGCGAAATGGGCTTGTAGATGGGGTAGGTCTAGAAGTCTTTGAGATGACGGAAGGTTGGACGTTGAGTCCATTGAGCGCTCCGACAGGAGAGAAGCGTGAGGGTACGGTTCCCGCACGAGTTCGTCGACCGGGATTGTACGCTATGG